CATATATAGAGCCGTAAACCGATCTTACTACGTTAATGCCGAGGTCTCGTCGCGAGACGGGGGGTTGCTCGCATGTGTCCGGCCATTGGTCATCCTACAGTCCCCGTTGGACGTTGGATGATGCGACGGCGACGCCCACGTATTGCCTCCACAATAGACTAGCCCGCCCAAACGCCTCCGCTCGTTATAGTCGTCGGTAATCATCTTATGCAAGATGACGGGCTTGAGTCGGTGTTAGGCGTCAATGGCTGGTGCCAGTAGCAGGTCGATGGGAGGAGAAATTGCGTTCAGCAGTGCTATACTTGTCTCATGGTGTATATGAGGCAGGCTAAGGTAGCCAAGCACGGAGGGCCCATGAGTTTCGTCATGCAGGGGAAGAATGGCATTCACCCACACTATCTCTTCGACTACTGAGGATGACTATGCTTCCAGGCCTTTCAGGATAGCCCTCATGCTTTGTATTCGTGGAGAAGGCACGGAGTGCAGAGATGAAGATCATCCTTCGGTCGCTAGCCAGATCGCGGTCAAGAGGCAAGGCGTGCGGGCGGGCCGTGAACGTTTGAACCACAGCGCGCCTAGTAGCGCGACCACCCGAACCTCTCTCTGACCACCATTGCGATTCTCGGAATACCATCCCAATCACTCTCTCATGCCTCGCACCTTGCTGTCTATCTTTTATGACCGCATGATACGTAACCCGCAACTTTCGGCGTGAACGCCAGTATATTCTCCGAGCAGTGGTTTCTACACTCGAAATTGCCCATCAGGGATCAGACTTCTACCCACGGTCCACCGTACGCGGTTGACACGAAGTCCCTCCTGAAGCTTTCATGTTGGCACTGGCTACCGTCCGAAGAACTGGGATGGTACAGCGTCGCAGTCAGGCGCATTGTGTGCGCCTTGTAATATGATTGCCACCCAGAGGCAGAAATCAAGAGAAGACGGCGGTTTACCCGTTGGTAAGACCGACCCTTGTAATTGAGAGTACGCACTTCGTGGAGTAACGACTTCTTCTTAGTCAATGGGAAGGTCATGTAGTATGCATTGATATAAACAGCATGGAAATCAGCATCTCCCAGGTCAGACTCAACATCAGGGCCGCTGCTTCTTGGTCATGTCGACGTCGCAACCGACCAAAGTCTTCCTGACTGGAGCGACAGGTGCGGGGATTGTTAAATAGCGAGCCTGATGGCGCTGTTGACAATGATCATCCAGGTTACTTGGGCGGCGCGATACTACAATCGTTGATGCAGGACCCCCGTATGGCCGTTACCGTACTCGTGCGCAACAAGGATAAGGCAGACGAGCTCAAGCGGCTTGGGGTGCAGACCGTGCTTGGCTCTTTGGATGATACAACGCTCATGGAGTCCGAGGGAGCGAAGACGGACGCGATTCTACAGAATGTGAGTGGTTCGAATCACCCTCCGATCTCTAGAAAACTCATGATGTTTAGGCGGCTTACGATCACCTCGATGGAGTCAATGCGCTACTCAGAGGCGCGAAGGCTCGCTTCCAGCGAACGTCCAAGCAGCTCATATTCGTCCACACCGTTAGCACATTTTCACTCGCTCTCACAACACATCTGACGCTCATCATCAATTCAGTCCGAGCCGGGAGGATGGGCTAAACTAGATGCAATGGTGCAATACACCTCAGAGCAGAGGATATCGGACGTAGATCCCGACCTTGACAACCTCACCAACATGTCTCTCCCACAAATCGCCGTTCACAAGGCTCTGATCGCTGCGGATAGAGAAGGTGAATCGACTTGGCCAGAGGAAATGCACCCTATTGATGAGGATCCAGGCTATATACGGTCGTATATCGTGTACCCGTCGGTGGTCTACGGCGCTCTGAGAGGTCCACTCGTCGTTACTGGAATCGCACACCCGTATAGCATAGCTATCCCCATGGCCATCAAGTTGAGTATCCAGCGCGGACAAGGAGCTCAGGTTGGACTCAGTGTAAACAGGTGGTCTGGCGTGCATATCGACGATAGTGCGTATAGGATGTGTCATCGACGTGAGACCTGTTCACTAACACAGTACATCTCATAGTGACAAAGTTGTACAAGGTCATTTTTGAGCATGCGCTTGCAGAAGACGCGCCTCACGGCTCTGAAGGACACTACATAGCGGAAGATGGCGAGTTCAGCTTCGCAGATGCAGCAAAACGGTACACCTCCGTTCTTCATGCACATGGGAAAAGCGCCCGAGCGGAGCCAGAGGCTTTCACGACCGCCGGGATTGAGAGTAACCCGATGGTGCGTAGACACTCGTTGGTACGAAACCCGGCCCTGACCTTTGGTACAGATATCTTTCTTGGGTATAGATGTTCGCATCAAGGGCGATCGCGCGCGTCAGTTAGGATGGAGCCCGATGCTTCATATCGGCGAGTTCTTTGAGAGTGTTCAGGAGGATACCGAGGCCATTCTCGAGGGAAAAAATCCCGTCTTTAAGAACCCTATACGGCAAAGTGATCCACCACATGCCTCTGTGTTGTAATGGTACTGCGAAATAGGACACGAAACCCCAATGCTTCCATTCATTCCTGGTCGATCAAGGTCCTATCGGGTACTATACTCGTACATGAGAACTCAGAAGGGTAGATAAGACACGCCTCCCGTGAGCGCACCTCACTCCCTTACGGCGAGAATGTCCTCAACTTCCTGTTGTACGCATTCGAAGAAGTCCTCGACTCCGTGCGCTGGGTACCAGCCTATCTGGCGTGCGCGATCCCCTCTGATACGATCATCCGTGCCCATGTAGGAAAGCTGCGAGCGTTGTAAGAGCCAAGCGTACCCTATGAGGAGAGCAACGTACAAATGGGTTCTTCTCGATCTCAGCCGTGGTGAAGCTTTCCGGTTCCGCCTTGGCACTCTTTCCATGCGCATGGAGGGCTTTCATATACCACTTTGCCCCAACCGCCAGTGTAACCTCGCCGTTCTCCGTAACGTAGGTTCCTTGTGCGCCATGAGGCGCATCATCCGCAAGAGCATGCTGCAGGATCAGCTTGTAGAAGTCGGCCGCTGGCGGACATGAAATCAGCGGTTGTCCAACACAAAGGGCCGCTGCTACTCACTATCGTCGATGTGTTTTACGGGCCATCTGTTCAGGCCCTTGCCGACCATTGCTACTTGCCCGCGTTGTAGGCACAGCTTGATCATCGTGGGAATCGTTATATTGTATGCATGAGCGATTCCAGCGTCAACGAGCGGTCCCTTGAGGGCGCCGTAGACCATCGAAGGCATCACAATATACGATCGTACGTAGCCTAGTGGCCGTCATTCCTGAGCTAAGGAGCAGAACGGGCAATCTCCACGAACGCTGGACTTCACCGTCGGCGGCGACGAGAACATCGTTCACAGTATTGTGTGCGAGCGTGTTCTTGAAGTTATCGAGGTTTGGGTCCGCATCCGACAGGATTGGATCAGAGGTATAGTCGCCCATCGCATCTACATAGCTTAGCGAACGCCCCTGTCCCAGACTACTCGATGAGCATCGCCTCCTCGTGCCAATACGATGGGGGAAGCAAAGAGACTCACGGTGTGTATGAAGATGGGCTGCTCTCCGGTGTGCTCGAAGCGCGTCTTTGCGCCTCTGAGTAGCGCGGTGATCCCTGCCATATGGCTAAGCGATGCCTATTCGAGATCAGCCCGGGAGTCAACAAAAAGGTAAGAAGGCCGCTCACAGCATGAAAAAATGATGGCTGCATTGGCGCTCTCCTTCCCCAGAAGCTCTGTATCGTCCAGAGAGCCCAAAACGACATTCAATCCGAACTGCTCGAGTTTGGCTGCCTTTTCCTTATCGCGCACGAGAGCAGTGATTAATCATTCTGGGTCGTGCATAATCAGCTGTAGTGCTGCGCCTCCGAGATAGCCTGCGTGTGATTGATCAGTCATTTCAACTCTTCGATAGGCAACAATGCTCGCACCTGTGGCGCCGGTGAGGAACACAGTGGTCTTGCGGGATATGCTATTATGGGAAGTCGACATGATGGGCTAACCCTAGAGGTATCAGTGAGCGAGAGAGTTTTATAAGGTCCATCAGGTTCAGGGTACTCTCGGAGGTGGCTCGTCGCTACGCGAAGTGACTGTTGACGATCGTCTGACGTGAGTCCGCGGATATGAGTCGATGTTAGGTGATACCGGCTGTTAACCGCTTTCACGCAATGAATAGGTCTGGTCGAGTTGCAGTACTGCATCGCAAGAGCTGGTAAGGTGGCTCAAGTTCTGGCGCCGGGGTACGGAATTCCGCAACGCTAAACGTCGTCGAAGGTGGGGTCGCACAATATTCGGGACATACGCCTCCGCTATATCGGCGACTTTGTACCCAGAGCGTCGATGAGCCGCACAAGACGGATATGCCTTTCAAACGGGGTGCATTGTGGAAAGGCAGCATTCGTGTACTGAACATGGACGTCGTGGCAAGTGACAAGTCGCACGCGCGCGCGAAGACAGGCAGCGCGTGCTTCTCATTTCGCACTCCTTTGACTGCATCCACCATTGTCAATGTCATGATCATCTACCCGCCGCCTACACTGCCGTTCCAGTGCACCTCTGGCTGCTATAGGGCCTTCATATTAGGCAAGTACGCCTCAGCAACGCGCATGTCACGACACGGAATGCTGGCCGTGTGGTCGTAATTCTGGGGCACTGCGCCAGCTGGCCATTCTCGAAACTCGCCAATCCTGTCGCTCACAAGCTTCGCAAGGGGTATCTCCATAAGCGCCATCTTGGAAGACGAGCCTCATGTGGTGCCATGGGATATGAGAGGTCTCACACCACGGACTCGAGTGTCTACACCCCAATATCTCTACGCGTGTTCCCAGTACATATGAGACCATAGTATGCGACAGGACGTACTAAACTCTCTCGGATTTCATACTATTGCACTTGCTGGGGATGAGCTGATATCAGGCTCAGTATGAGACAGATCGGGGTGTTCAAACCTACCGGGTAGGCTGGTGGAACCGCCCTCGCATTCGCTCTAGAAACCACTCGGTTCGCATATCCCTCTACGTGACAGCCACAACCACCTTTCACAGACTTCGAATACAAGTTTTCAGCCCCTACAAGTGAACCAGACGGACGATGACTCCGACAGAGAAGTCTTCAAGCCTGAGAGGGCGGCGATTCGTCCGCTCTCAACATCAGCACCCATCGCCGCACTTCTTCGTATGCGCATGGTGGATACGTTACTCCGCCACGTTCCTTTCACACTCTGTGCGTGTACCTATAAGAGGTGGGTCGCCCATACCCAGAACTTGAACATTGCCGCTAACCTCTTCAATCACTGGCATGTCACAGACCACCAACGTCTTTCTTACTGGCGCGGCAGGTGGGAGCTATTGAACTGTACCTGTCCGATGAAACCGAGCTGACTTCTGCCACGATACAGGCTACCTGGGTGGCGCAATCTTGCAGCTGCTTATGCGGATGCCAAACCTGGCTATCACCGCCCTCGTACGTGACGAGCAGAAAGCGGCCAAGCTCGAGCAGCTCGGCATCGAAACCGTCATAGGCTCTCTCGACGACGCAGCACTCATGGAGGCTGAGAGCGCGAAGGCGGACGCCATCTTCCAGAGCGTGAGTGCCTCGTAGTATTCGTAGTATGTTGATGTTGCTGAGCGGGCGTTCCCACATAGGCGGCGTATGACCATCTCAACGGAGTCAACGCGTTGCTCAGAGGCGCGAAGGCTCGCTTCGAGAGGACGGGCAAGCAACCGATCTTCATCCAGACCGTCAGTCCCTTCCCCACCTGTTCGCTGAACGTTGAGATTGACAACCCGACCAGGCGGGGACGGCTATCTTCGGTAAGCTCGACGCGATGGGCTCGCCTGCGTCGGGCCCTGCGTTATCCGACATGGACCCCAACTTGTACGACCATAAGAACGCGCTCCCGTACACCGCTATCAACGACGCGTTGATCGCCGCAGACGCTGAAGGTAATTCGAAGCCACTATTCCAAACCTCGATTCGTATGCTGAAGGAAACTCAGGCTTCGTACGAACATATATCGTGTTCCCGTCCGTGGTCTACGGGACTCTCAAAGGCCTGCTTGTCGACGCGGGCATCGCGCACGCGTACAGCCTCGCGATCGCTGTGGCGGTCAAACTGAGTATCCAGCGCGGGCAGGGTGCGATGGTCGGCCCGGGTCTCAATAGATGGTCTGGGGCTCATGTTGACGATGGTATGCGCTCTCTATCATGACCGCTGTGAGATCAGGAGCTGAAATTGAGTGCTTTCGACAGCGGCCGACTTCTACAAGATCGTCTTCGAGCGTGCGCTAGCAAACGATGCGACTCACGGCACACAAGGGAGCTACGTCCTAGAGAACTGCGACTTCAACTACAAAGACGCAACGGAGCGGTACACTGCGATCCTCCATGCACACGGCAAGAGTGCGAAGCCCGGGCCCGAGGCTTTCACAGCTGCTGAGATCGAGAAGAACCCGATGGTATGTGATGAGCCCTTAGCTTCCTTTGAAACGTATGCTGATGGCATTCAGATCACTCTTTGGGGTGTGGATATCCGTATCACGGGCGACCGTGCGCGGGCGTTGGGGTGGAACCCCACGCATGGTGTCGAGGAATTCTTCGAGAGTGTGCAGGAGGATACAGAGGCTATTCTCGCGGGAAAGGATTGATGGTCTTACACTTCTCTTCCCCTTTCTCTGTGTTTGTAATTGTGTCTGAGACGGGTATGGCCCCACCATACAAAGGACAGAAGCGAGAGACAACTCGGACAACTCGCGTTGGGTCACATTGACGCGTCACGTCACAGCCGCATCGGACCTGGAGGGCTTCATTCAGATTCACGTACATAGACTCAATATAATGTCGCGTAGTACATGGCTGCAAGAAGTAACAAGTCTATCGCGAGGACTGTACTCGTGCCGAGTGTACAGAGCACGATGAGGGGAGCCGAGAGGGTCCAAACATCGACCCGAAGTTGCGGTGCTCCATTGATCAGCCCATGCGCGACGCGCGCAGAGTCTGAGTCGTGCTTGCTCTCGACCACGATGCCAATCGACGTTCTGCGATAGCTTCGTTCCTGTGTGCTCTCGTGTAGTGATCGTGTAAGTATGATACGCGATGCCCCCTAGCGCTGTCACGTATACTGCATATTGCTTCGAATACGAGCAGCGGGACCGACGGACGGCTCACTACGACGCGGCTGAGCTCACTGAGCAGGAATCCTCACCCGCTGCTAGTCTGTTCTTGTTTGCTTTAGTAGATGAAGGCGTCACTCTCATGTGTCTGCGTTTTCAGGTACTATGGGCTTCAAACGCGTCTGCGTATCGCTTACTTCTCACCGTGTCCGCGGCTGATGGATGAAGCGTATGGGACCCGCAAGGTGGTGATTAATGTGTCGAGAGACGCTGCAAAGTGCGTACTCTATGTGCACGGCAGCATCCAGTAAGACGTGCACGACATCCGATTTCCCTAACTCTCACACCCGTCCTCGTGAAGTGCACTCCCATATGACTCTGAATTTATCAAGGAATACCGCTGTCCACGCGCAGCAAGCATCATGACCCAGATCCCAGCGACCAGTGACTGCTTGATCACGCTCACCCCCATACGGCCCAGTGCGACTTATTCTCATCTTGACGCCGCCTGACTCTGACCCGCTGCACGGATGCGCACTGCGTCATCATGCATCGCCAACCGGCGGACAAGGTGCCCAGTCGCGTCGCCGGCCCTCGGGCATCATAAGTCCGCACACAAGTGCTCTTACTTCGGGCATCCGACATCGAGCTGCGGGCGAGAGCTAAAGAGCATTTTAATGTGCCAGCGAGAGGACGGGTCGTCGAATCAGACTTGAGAGAGTCGACCGAGCGCCACTGAGCCTTAGCCGAAGCGACTCGACGCGCATACACTGCCCGCCGAGTTCGCACTTCCCGTCCTTAACGCATATTCTGGGAAGACCATTCCGCCGATACCATAGTCCTCGTACTCAGAGAGCGCTGATAAACGTATAAGTATGGGGTAAGCGGATGGACTGGGTCGTAAGCACGCGGACGCGGGAGCGAGATGGACTGGAAAGAACAGAGGAAGTTGAGAGGAAGAGGCGACCCGGACCGGCAACGACCGCGCCGCACCCGTCTTAGCGCACGCAGCCTCAGCGTGTCTTGCACACATGGTTCTCGACCGTAGAGGATCCGTGCGCGCGAACGTAGGAGCGTGAGGCCAGTCGGTCTTCTATTCTCGCCAGCCCAGTCGCGCGTGCGGGAAGTATACTGCAAGATCGGCACGGAAAAGGATATGGCATCCAATGTACGGCGAAACGTGCCGGGGACCGGCGGGCTGGGAACGTACTTGCCTGCTTTTTGCGTCTGTTTTCGGCTCGTTTTGGAAGGGTCTGGGGTTCATTCCTGCTATTCCCTGCAAGTTCCAAGTGTACATTACTGCCAACGACATGGAGAATGCATTATCCTACATCACATCCGCGCCGTTAATACCTACAGCATCGTCGCTGTCGTCATCATATACAACCTGGTCACTCCATTCCGAATCCGACTCATCCGTCACATGTATGTGGCTCAAAGAGACGAAGAGGCGCTCGTAGATGATCTCTATACCGTCGACTTGCGGCAGATATCGTAACCATTGCCGATCGTACTCGCGGCGCCAACCGACCAGATGCACGGTCTCGAGGGCAGTCTTGTGCACTCGGGTCAGTATGATCTCTCGCAGAACCTCGCCTGGGACAGACTCGTCTTCGGAGGCAAGGACACGCATGTCGGGATCCCAATCAACAAGTGTCAATCGTGACATATAGGGCAACACATATTCGCCAGTGAGAGGATCAAATAATATAGCTCGCAAGATACATAGCGGCGTGCCCCGCTTACTTGGTGGAGAAGTTATACGGAGGTGCCGAAGCCGCCGTAGGGGATGTAGTATCCGAAACCAAGTGGACGTGTCTCCTAGTTCTAGCTCTGGGTTTAGATCAAGGGATAGCACGCGCAATGTGCTCAAAGTAGGATGGGTGAGGAGAGCTATCGCAAAATTGGCCAACTGAGGAGGGCCATCTTGCTTTACGGGCTCAAAGATGTGTGAGATGTCTGCATCGAGTGTGGACGCATGCGTCTCTGGCAATGGAACATCTATTGCAGCAACATCCTGTACCGCGGAACGCCAGCCATGTATTGCAATGACGTTGCTCAGGAATGAATAAAAATGTGTCACGGAGAGCGTCTGCAAAGCAGGGATCATGGCTCCGTCTATGTCGTCCAGAATGCGAAAGAGCCCCATAGACCTTATAACGTCGAGATGTACCAGAATGGGGTAATCAGGCCTAAGATATCTAACAGCATAGAATGTTAGAAGGGGCATGCGGGCGTGCGATACGAAATTGCCACAGGATGGGCCCCTCTCGACCAGAGTCAGTTGACGTAGTCGAGGCAAGCAGATGTCAGAACCTTCGAAGTCGATGTTGACATCGTGTAAGTCGAGGACAGCGAGGTTCAAGAGAAGTGTGCACCACTGAGGAGAAAGGGGTATATTTTCATCGAAGTTTATAGTGCATAACACCAGTTCGGTAAGAGATGGAAGATCAATGACCGCCAAGAATTCAAGTAAAGATGCATCATCGCCGTTGAGTCCCACGTCCAGTCGTCGTAGCAATTTGAAGTTATTCAAATTGATCGCGGGAGTGACCGCCATCGAGTCTGTCATTTCTTCTAATGCAAGGGTAGTAGATCCCGTCTCCGATCCTAGGATCTCAAGCACCTCCACAGCTTCGTTTGCATTATCTATACAGCGGATGCGGTGCGAACCCAGCTTGTGAAGCACTGCGATGAGTTCATCCTCTTGTTGTGAATGATGCATCTCCATCGAATGTGGGATGAATATATCCAAGGAACCTGTTTTACGCCTCCGCACTAGTTCGTCAACCCATGCGGGTGGAAGTGTAAGGGGGATATAAGACCAAAGATCGGTGCATCCGAGCGCTATCTGACGCCAAATACTACAGACATGTGTGACACGCGTCCATCCGAGGGAGAAGGGGGCGTATGTCGACTGTGACGTGAAGGTGTCCGAGTCAGTGGGGGAGTCTTCGCGATATGGGAGCGAGTGTGTGATGGTTGTAGGACTTTGGAATGGGATATCCGCATCCGGAATCTGGCAGGAAAGATCCTCGTGCTCATCGTCCTCCATATGTATAGAGCCAATCAGACTTCCGCCGTCGGCGCTATCCTCATCGGGATAATCGTAGTCATAGTCTATGAAACCCAGAGGTTCGAGTGCTGAGAGATGTTTGAATGTCTCCAGAAGGAGCTCGGGTGGTAGAGCGTGTATGGTAATGCGCCCGTGCATGCCGTGGGTCGCAGCAAGGTGGACAGACGGGGAGCGTAGGGAAATTTTATGTTCCATAGGTCTACGAAGAGGCGCAAACAAGCCGAAGATAGAGAAGATATTGAAGCAGTCTATCAAGAGAAGGTGACGGGTTGTATTCGTCTCGAGCGTGCAGCAAGGGATGAAGCTGAAGGAGGGGCGATCGTGGATCGAAGCCAAGTCCCTGAGTTGCCTGGTTCCGCTAGGGAACCAGGTTCGGAAAACACCAACGACGACTTTCACATGATCACGTCACAGTCCTGGGGTTCGAATCGCATCGGTGCCTGTCTTTCTTTTTCCGACCTGGAACCCTAACCTGTTACCTGCATTACTTGATATCTCAGGATGCTACCCAATAACACACCACACCCTCAAAGCACGGCATCTTATGCCAAGGAATGACCCATCGCACCCGGAGTTCTAGTCACGTCGAATGACGGGACAAAGCTTACGATGATCATTGTATGCGATTCGAGGGGCGCTACTATGGTGATTATTCATAGGTGAAAGATAATATCTATCGCACGGAAGGACGCGCATGTTCTTATCGAGGACGCACGCGCCGCACAAGGGTAACGGCCACCCGATATTCTCCTTGCGGTTGTGCGGGCCGACGCGGCGCGACGTGCAGCCGATGGTCGCTTCCGTGGGTCTGTGGGGACGGACGCGTGAGCTCTCAAGCGAAATACGTCACGCAGAGCGCACAGGCAAACCGGCCGTACCCGTAGAAGTTCGCTAGGAGCAGGTCCGCGCGCGCAGACCATTTCTGCAGCAACTACGCGCGTAAAGTCAAACTCATTAAATCTCGGTCCGTGGTACTGAGTGCATGCACGCACCGTGCCCGTGATCTTCTCGCCGCCCGAGGCCAAGTACTTGATCGGCAGCCCGCCGGCGGTATCCAGCAGCGCCTCGATTGTGCTCGGCGCCATCCCGGCATGCGTGATCCCGATGTCGATGACGTGTGCGCGGAGGTCAGTCAACAGCTCGAAGCGCGGCGCGGGGACTAGCTCTGGATCTTAGAGATGTGGACGTCGAAGGCGATCGCTAGATTGATGATATCAGAGAGAATGAAAGGGTGAGGGAGAGTGGGAGGGGGATGGGAGAGTGGGAGAGAGGGGAGAGAGGGAGACGCACAAGCTAGAGGTCGGGGTCGTGATGGGGAGCGCGCAGAAGGACACCATCGCCCAGTACAGGCCGCGATGCTCGAGTAGACATCCCTTCGGGTTCCCCATCGTGCCTAGTACACGCGCAGTTAGACGGACGTAGAACGCACACTGATGGGAGCGACACGCACCAGAGGTGTAAAGCAGATACGCCAGGTTGTCGAGCCCCGCAAGACATATATTTTCGTGATCGTCAGTCACAAGAGCTGGCCGCGGGAAGATCGTCCCCGCGACTTCGTCTGTGTCGAGGACGAACTTAGCCCCGCTATCCTGTTTTATAAACATCTTGCGCTCATCCGGCAACTCGATGTCAATCTATTCCACCATCAGCACTCCGCAGCATTGGGAAATGGAATACAGAAGCACACACCGAGACGTAACAAGCTCCGGCTTTCAGTATGGCGGCCATAGCAATATGAAACGCCCTATACCTCACACTACTGTACACAAACAAACTTCATCCTCCACTTTCACCCCCTGCGCCACAAGCCATCCCGCCAGCACATTCGTGTGGTCGTTCAACTCACCAGACGTAACCGTATCCGGCTTTCTCTCAAGACTCGCATGCATCTCGTGCGCAACGGCCTTGTCGCTGCATTCTTAAAAAGCCATTTGACCACGAGTTTTTTTGGGACTCGTCGGTTTCGGCCATGAAAGTTGAGAAGAGGTTTTGAGGGAGAGTAATCGGCATCTGTCTCGGCGAGCACGAGATTGGTGCTGTCGATGTAGCGCATCAGCGTCGCTGTGAACGCCGCGCGCAGGTTCGTAAGGTCGAGCTTGGATGTTGATGGAGAGTTGATGGAGAGGGGAGGGAGGCTGAGGCGTAGGGCGCCATGGAAGGGGTTGCGCTGCAGCGAGCCGAGGTCGAGCAGGGGTTGGAGGGTGTATGGCGCGGTCCGCGAGTTTGAGACTAGTACCATCGTCGACTGGATAGAGAGGGATGAGAGTCAAGTGTAAAGAAGGAAGAGGACCGCAACGGTGCTTGAAAGTCGGCGGTGAGTTTTCGCCGAGATCGC